TAACATGCACATGCCTGGGCACTATGGGACAATTTAGCATGGCCAATTCACCCTAACCCGCACATCCCTGGGCACTATGGGACAATTTCCCATGGCCAATCCACCCTAACCTGCACATCCCTGGGCACTATGGGACAATTTCCCATGGCCAGTCCACCCTAACCTGCACATCCCTGGGCACTATGGGACAATTTCTCATGGCCAATCCACCCTAACATGCACATCCCTGGGCACTATGGGACAATTTCCCATGGCCAGTCCACCCTAACCTGCACATCCCTGGGCACTATGGGACAATTTAGCACGGCCAATCCACCCTAACCTGCACATCTTTGGACTGTGGGAGGAAACCGGCGCACCTGGAGGAAACCCACGCAGACACGGGGAGAATGTGCAAACTCCACACAGACAGTCGCCCGAGAGTGGAATCGAGCCTGGTTCCCTGGTGCTGTGAGTCAGTAGTGCTAACCACTGAGCCACCTCTATCAGGAAGACAGGGTTGGAGATTGGGGTGGGAGAGGCATTTTCAGGATGGTAACCCGTGGCTAAGGAGTGCTGCAGGGATGAGTGCTGGGGTCACATTTAGTTAGTAATGATTTGAATGAGGGGTGTGTCCTGCAGTCAGGTTTGAAGGTGACACCAAAAATTGCTGGGAAGACCAGTGTTGAGGGTTATGGTGGGGGTCTGAAGAGGGTTATGGATGGGTGAAGTGAATGTGGGGACAGTCTTGACCGATGGAAGTCTCTCTCTCTCTGTCTGTCTCTGTCTCTCTTTCTCGGCTCTCCCGCACCCTCTCCTCACCGTGAGTGTCTTCCCCCAGGTCTCCGAAAGAAGAACCTGTCCCCAGGTGCGGTGGAGAGTGACGTGCGTGGGATATCTGGCGTCGACCTCTTTGGTACCACCGACGCTGTGGTCAAGCATGTTCTGGAGGTGAGCATTCCCCGCACTGTGGAACAAAATATTTCACACCTCACTCAGGTATTGTGCTGGAAATCTGGCCCCTGTGTTCCCAGAGTTGTCACAACAAATTCAAGGACTTTTAGAAGGATGTGGAACACATAATTTACATTTCAGACCCAAGTTGACAGAAAGCGGGGACCTGGGTTTTGTAATGAACAAGAGTTACTGTTAATTTTCGGCAAGTATTTACGGGTAAACCGTTATGAACCATCCACTGCTAGCTCTGCTCGTTGAAGCCCTAACCTACTTGGAAACCGCCCCCCCTACCCATAATGTGCATGTATAGACAGACACAAAAGAAAGGGTGCTGTGGATGGAGGGAAAGACTGGGAAAGCAGTTCCATGATCCTTGTCCGTAGGGTTTGCTGAGATGGCCCTTCGATTTGATTTATTATTGTCACGTGCGCCTGAGTACAGTGAAAAGTTTTGTTTTGCATGCGCTACAGGCAGATCATACCGTACGAAGCGCATTAGGGTAATAGAGCGAGGAATACAATGTTGTGGCTGCAGAGAAGGTGCACAGAGCGCAAGATTAACATTCCATTTAAAATTTGACAGGCCCATTCAGAAGTCTAATAACAGCGGGGAAGAAGCTGTCCTTGAATCTGGTGGTCCGTGTGCTTAAGCTTTTGTATCTTCTGCCTGACAGGAGAGGTTGGAAGAGATTATAACCGGGGTGGGAAGGGGTCTTTGTTGATATTGGCTGCCTTCCTGAGACAGTGAGACATGTAGGTGGAGTCAGTGGATGGGGGATTGGCTTTCGTGATGGTCTGAGTTGTGTTCACTACTCTCTTGTTTCTTACGGTCCTGGGCAGGGCAGTTGCCATATTAAGCTGTGTTATTTCTGGATAGTCGGTGCATCTATGACAATTTGTAAGAGTCTTTACAGACACGCCGAATTTCCTTAGCCTCCTGAGGAAGTAGAGGCGTTGTTGTGCTGATCAGAATGCTGCTCCTCGATTTCCCTGCCCTCCAGTGACTTGGACTGGTTTGTGGAAGGTAGAGGGTGGCTGCTTCCCACTGAGAATGATCTTTGAAAGTCGCGGCTCACAGGAACTGATGTGGGGAAATGAACTGGCTGTTTGCAGGCTTGTTACTGCAGAGTAAAAACTGCTCCGTCCTTTCCCAGTTTCGATGACTTCTACGAATGCATCCTGGGAGCCGCTTGCTTGGGTAGGCAAAATGGGATGGATATTCGGTTAGCAATCGACAGACCAATCAGCTATCTGTTGCCAGTTGAAGCTCCCACCCCCTTGTCTCCAACCCATCTACAAACCAGGTTTCTGTCACTGAGCAGCTGTGTAAACAGTACTACCAATGAGGGCCAAGTAAAATGTAAAAATGCAGCAATCGTTAGTTTTCAACATATTCCTTTCCCCATTTCAGCTCACAATCTTTACAAGCTGACACCCGTGATTCAGCTTTTTACAGTCAGCATTAAAGCTAATTCAACACAAGCAAATAAGACAGTTGTTAAAAAGGCAAATTTAACCAATTATACTCAATCAAAGAGCCATACCTCTGGCTCAGTCCCTGTAAAGAGATGATCACTCTCTGAATCTCTCGTGTGTTCTCCCTTCATTCCCCTGTCCCAGAAGCGAGCAGTGCCTGAGTCTCGCTCTCCCAGCCTCTTGTGTGTTCCACCCTCCGTCCGGCCTCGCCCAGGAGTGAGTGCAGTCCAGGTCACACTGAGCAGCATGTTCTTTCTCCCCTCTTTTTCCCCAGGGCCATGATCGAGGTGTCAACTGGGCAGCTTTCCATCCCAGCATGCCCCTGATTGTGTCGGGAGCGGACGACCGGCAAGTCAAGATCTGGCGCATGAATGGTGAGTGTGTCCTCACTGTGTGTGGTCACTATCTTCCTGTTCAGACCCTGGCCTCACACTCTCCTGGAGTCAGCCTCAGTGTCCTACTGTTGTTCTATTTTTCTCTTTCCCCCTCACCGTCCTCTCTCTCTCTATGTCTCTCCCTGTCTGCCTCTCTCCTAATCGCTCCCGTTCCCCCCACCCCCTGCCTCGCGCCCACCCCGCCCCGTCCACCCTGCCTCGATCTCCCCTCGGGGTGTTGTGCTGTGCGTGTTGTGATGGGGTCAGTGTGCCCCATTCTTAGCCCTGTGCTGTTTGTGTGTCAGACTCGAAGGCCTGGGAGGTGGACACATGCCGTGGTCACTACAACAATGTCTCCTGTGCTGTCTTCCACCCTCGGCAGGAGCTGATCCTCAGTAACTCCGAGGACAAGAGCATCCGCGTCTGGGACATGTCCAAGAGGTGAGGGAGAGGACCGCGGTCAGCTAAAGGTTGGGGGCTGGGGGGGGGGAAATCACAGCT